AAACAGTGATGAATTGTTATCTCACATTGGCATTTTAATACATTTCAATAAAATCTGATCTTAGGACCAAAGTGACAGAATCGCGTGATTACAGGTACATCCATGCGATAATAGTACAAACCAGGGACTTCAGAATAGTGAGGACTCGGTCTGTCATCAGACAGGAAGCTGGGCCGTGATGCAAGAGGCCAGGTGCCCCTGAAGTGCCACCTTCGTGCTCCAGCCAGCTGAGTTTTTCTCAAATTTTAATTAAACGTTTTTTGAGCACCTAAGGAGTGCAAAGTGGGATGTCAGGTGAAGCTTGCATTTAGTGGGGGGGTGGACTGTATGCTCCAGTGAGTCACAGAGATGTCGGCTGGGGGGAGGGGGGAGCACTGAGGCAAGACTAGTGGCCCTGCATGGCCGTCATGTTGCCTAATGTGGTGGGATTATGGGTCACCTTCTCGCCTCGGTCTCACAAATTTTCTCTATTATGGAAGAATTTCAAATGTTTTTTCAGATAGATCAATACTCTCTTTAAAATTATATATTCATATACATACGTTTTTAAAGGACCATTAATCTCACGAGAGTTGTGCATCACTGATTTCAGACATCTCCATTCTGCCGCTCACTCACCTTTTAATCTAAGCCTCAGTTTCCTCATCTGTAAAGTGGGACTCAGGCGTGTGGTGGGACTGAGCGTGATGGGTTTAGAAGCCACTGAAAACTCAAAGCGCCGCATGCACAGACCTCATCAGAGGTCGGGCCCTCAGACCTGTGGTGTCGGGGGAGCATGGCTGTTGGGTGGAAATCCCCAGGTAAAATCAGCCCTGGCTGGGTCTCCTGCTGGTTCTCTCGGAGGTCATAACTGCTGCTCTGGACCAACCTGTTTCCATGCTTGCGTGGCAGCATGTGCCGGGGGTGGATGGGTCACAGCTGTGGGAATGCCCTCAGTCCTCACAAGCCGATTCACATAAAAAATCATCAGGGCTGACGACAGGAGCAAAACCTTCTCGAAGCCCTTTCAAGTGCATTACGGCCAGGACTGTCTTCTTGTTTGTTTATTGGCACTAGCCTGGCAGCAGAGCATCCACCTGGTCGCACTCCTGGTCATCATCTCATCCATAGTCCCCCTTTCCTGAGGATGAGAATGTGGGAGGGCGTGTGACATCCCCAGGGGCACACAGCCTGCCAGTGGCCAAGCCAGGACTAAATCCAGTCCTCCTGGATCTAGGGTTTTCTCTACAAACGTTTTCCCCCACATATTTGCCAGGAGGCTACCGAGTACCAGGTACACACAGTGAAAAAGACACACTGGGTCCCCGGCCCACAAGCAGCCTCTGTTCTGGTGGGAGGGACAGTCGAAACATAATTAATTGTAAACATGCTGTTAAATAAAAGTAAGCGAGCTGCATGAGTGCTTCGATCGAGGGTCAGAAATAGATAATGGGGGGCGGATTTTCTATACGTGGTGGTCAAGGAAGCCTTCTCTGAGGAGGTGACGCTTCTTCAAGACCTTAGGTAAGGGGAGGGCATGTCAGGCCAAGGAAGGTCCCACAATAGGAAGGCAAAGGAATTCGGTGTGTCTGCTGGTGACTGGAGGATGGGGGCGGGAGGCGGGGGTGAGTCTGGGGAGAGAAGCAGGGATTCTCCGTGCCTCGTGGGCCACAGTGAACAGTTTGGACTGCATTTTAAGTGCCCTGCGACATGGCCATATGCACGTCTGAGGATTACCGGAGCAGCTGTGTGGCACTGGGTGGAAGCAGGACAGGAGTGGGAACAGGGGGCCAGTAGGGGGTCCCGCCCAAGTCAAGAGGAGAGGGTTGGTGGCTAGGGCAGTGGTGGAGGACGCAGGTAGAGGGCAGACTGGGGATCTACCTTGGAGATTGGAGCCTTGCAAGTGGTGATTTGGCTGGGGCGGGGGGAGGGGCGGGAAGGAGAGGGAGGCAGCAAGGGCGACTCTGAGTTTCCAGCCTGAGTAACACTCAACGTCAGTACCATGTGTGTCCTCTAGGGAAGACTTGCTCTAGCGCTTTATCACAGTCTAAGCTCCATCTCAGCCTCCTCCTGCCTAATAACAGCCTCTCAGTTCAGTAAGAGTCATTATTCTGCCTGCTCAGCAGGTGGGGAAACTGAGGCACACACTAGCAAAGCAAACTGCTTCTTAGGGAACCAGTTGTAGGAACTATACAGAGTGCCAGAGCCCAACCCTGGGGTCAGCCTCTGGGCAGCAGAGTCCAAAGACCCAGGCATCATGTCCAGGGGTTGTGATTTATCAAGCTGTGTGACCTTGAACAAGCGATATGACCTCTCTGGGCCCCAGTTTCCTCATCAGGAAAATGGAGAAAATAAAAGGACCTACCTCATGGTGTGCTTGAAGGGTTAAATGAGGGGTAGATTCTCAATAGATGTGAGTGATTACTACTTTCGGATTACACGGGCCATCTGTGTGCCCACCTCTCTATACACACTGTGTATGTGTGCCTGCTTGTACAGAAGCTGTCTTCGTGCCTGTGTCACAGCTGATGACCAGGCACCCGCTAACGTTTCAAGCTGGCGGTAGCGGATCTGCTCCCTGGGCTTCTGTTTAACCTTCCGAGCCACCGCTTGGTGGTGGGGCAGATGCTTTCATGCTCCCTGGAACAAGGGCGTGTGGTGGTTTGGAGGCAGATGTGGAAGGCCAGGCATCTGTAAGCCAGCCTGTTTCCAAGCGCTCTGACCGACCTGACCCAGGAAGGGGGTGGGGCGGGAAGGAGGGGGAGTAAGGGGGAGGGGGCCAGAGAGGGCCTAGGAGGGAACCACCCCCCCTAAGGAAATGCACAGTAACAGATCTAGAGTCTGGCCCGCCCTGAGCCCCTTCTGTGTGGCTTTGGGAGCCTCTCCCACCCCCTTCTCCCCACCCCACCCTCCAAGACTCCTTTATGTTCCTGTTCCCAGAAGGCAGCTGGCATGGGGGCTGAGAACAGGGAGGCGAGGCTGGAGGGGCAGAGGGGCAGAGGGGCAGGGCTCCCCACATTTTGCCCAGAGCCCTTCCGAAGGGTGTGTCCCAACAGGGCATGCACACACAGTGATTAAGGGGGAGGGAGGAATGACATCCACGGTCCACTGCGGTACCCAGCCGGTGGGCTGGACCGTGGCCAAATTTCCCCTGAGGCTCTTGGCTGCAGTGTCCTCAGCCCTGGCACCACCCACTGGCCTACTCAGACGCTCCTTCAGGCCCAGGGGCTGGAGCCCTGCTGGGAGGAGCCGCCTAGGGGTGGGGTGGGCTGGGCTGGGCGCACCACTCTCCCCCACCCCTCCCTAAGCCTCCCTCCTCCACTCCCTCTGCCCACATCCAGCTCCAGCTGGGCTTGAAAGAGGTGCTCTAATCCTCCCTCCCTCCAAAGCAGGCCCTGCCCTGTATTCTCTCCTTTTTTTTTTTTTCGGTACGGCCTCCCACTGCTGTGGCCTCTCCCGTTGCGGAGCACAGGCTCCA